AAATGGATCGTTCCATCATGTTTGGCAAATGGTAGAATTGTGGGGGAGAAGAGATAACCATTGTTGCGGCTACTATCTCAAAACCCTACAATGGGACGCAAACCTATCCATAAGATGAAAATGGAAAGGTCAAACAAGTCATACTCGAAAGTATAAAAGTGTGTCGAGCGAGAAAGTGCAAGTCCTTAAACCTTGTGGAGTTAACCCAATCCAAGGGTATAACTTATGAGTAAAATCTAGCATATGTTGACAGTTATGTCAGAGATCTAGTTTAAGAAATCCAAATAAGATTTCTTAGGAATGTTAGTACACTCTTTCCAAAGAGAAAATGATTTTGATCATATATATGACAGTATATGAACAACAATCCCCTTATCGGAAACATTGGGTTTCAACAACTACAGCAAAATAGTTGAAATGTGGGGGATGATTGGGGAGAAGTGATGTGGAATGTCATTTGGGTGATTTCAAAGTGAAGTGATGTGAATACTTAGGAGTTTTACGTAAACCCTAAGCTAAGTCATAAATGTTACTACATTTGAAGAGATACTTGTGAAGCTCAAGTACTCTAAGGTTAATGCAGTAGAGAGAGACTTCAATACCGTTAGCATGTGTTATAATTATTGCAAGGCAACAATTCAAGTCAAGCACACATGATGTGTAGTGAATCGAAAGAGACGAGTCTTTGGTGTATTGTACCGAAAGGGAACTCACCAGATGAACCAAAAGGCAATCTATTAATGGATATGCATTTATGGTTGATGGACAGTATCTTGGGAAACGTCCAAGTTAAACTATATATATACCCACTCTAAGACCGGTGAAGTTCGATAGTATGGCCCGCAAAGACTGGCGTTAATAAACGCACTTGTGCCAAAGTTGTTATTGCAAGGGCTAGAAGTGTTATGTGAAAATCTCGTAATAGGTCATTGAAACATAACATTATTGACTGATTAAGTTCTAGCGAAGTTATCGAAGATGATCATTGAGATCAAATGATAACAAGCATGGGGCCCACCTAGAAATTAATTAAAGCATCAAAGGGAATGGACTCGTGGCCTAAGTAGGATTGGCAGACCCAACCTCTAGGTTTAAGGTGCAAACAAAGTTGTGAATGATGGTCCGACATTGTCAACTTATTCAAAGTCCATTCTCATGATGAGACAATGTCCAAAATAAGGGTAAACCTAAATACAAAAGGTTTTTAATGGTTTCTAAATTTGACACGTGATATGATCAAATAGTGTATTTTTGAAATACACGTTTAGAAATCACCTATGTGAGTGTGAAGTGGAGCCGCTTCAAGGAGAATAAAAGAAGGTCAGTTCTCTAAGCACTCATGAGGCCAGGCGGTGTTCATGGCTAAAACGAACACAACAATGAGAACCAGTGAACGAATAAGAGTTAGTTGTGCGACATATGTTGTCTTAGAGTACAAGCAAAACCGACGATTCAAAGATATCACATCTACCGATTGGTGAGTTTACTCGATATATGTTCACTAAGGAAGGTTCAAAGGGAAACCTACCTATCCTGATGCAACTAATTCTTAGTCGAGAATCAAACACGATTTTTGGAATAGTTTTTAAAGTACAACATTCTCCATCCATGTGGGGGTTGTTGAGATTTTTAATGGTGTGAATGGAAATGAAAGGGGAAAGATCCAAGAGAATCTCTTGAAGTACCATGTTGGTAAGCTGTGAGAAGGCGTGGCCGTGAATTCGGTCGATTTGATGTACTATGTTGGTAATCGATAATATTGGTTTGTGTAACCAACCGGACCAAATTGAGTTGAACCAAATCGATCCGAACTGATGTGGCAGTTGGAATAACCAAACCGGCCCAACTACCATGGGCCAAACCGATGTAATGGTTCATTATTTTAAAATGAATCAATGTGTTGGTTGGGGGTGTGACCACCCATATGAAGAGTCGCCTCCCTTCGTACGCACCCCTTCATTTTCTATAACTAGCACATAACCCCCTCTGGTTTTTAGACACGTTTTTCCGGTAACAAAACTCTGCTAAAATCCAAAACTAGTTTTCTGCATTATTTTCAAAGAGAAAATCGAGTCAAGTGTGGTTCTCACCGGTTCGCTGCATTCGATAGTTTTCAGGGTTTGAGGTACCGCTACGCCGCAAAAGGTATGTCCTTTCTATCCTGGGAGTAATCATTCCATAACCTTGGTTCTAGAGGGGAATAAGATTCCTTAAGGAGAGACAGTGAATTCTTTCGGCTGGGACGCTTGCATATGTATTTGCATAATTTCGTGATCTTATTCTTATATGTGACTTAATAGTTGACTGCCACGTAGGACAAATTTAACGGAGTGTAACGACCGGTGACTAAGGGTGATATGATTCGTAAAGTTAGTGGCGACTAAGAAACAAAAATAATTCGGATAGCAAAGATGAAAGATTTGTATAATTTGAGTGACCAAACATGTAATTTAGCCCAGAAATAATAGCAGCGAGTCATATTTGTAACACCCTAGCCCGACCGGGTACTACTTTTACTAAAATGCCCTTGATAAATAAAATACTCAAATCTTAAATTGAAGCGAGAAGAATTTTCATAAATAAAATACTGAAAACACACACTTGGAGTTTAAAGCAATGCCCTAATACATGGACAAACTCAATTCTTAAAATCTCAAAAATGATCTCCAGTCTATACTCATAATCACAAATGTAAATAACTAATAATCTCTAATGTTGTTGTTACTGAAAACCTTGACTAAGCATCCTCCGTAACGCTTATATTGTCCTCCTCTAGCTGGCTGCCCTCGAACTCGCTGCTCATGAACCGCTCCTCTAGCTCCTCCTTTAGCTCTTCAAACTGGTGAGTGAGATGGAGTCAGTCTATGATCTTACGTTTAAACTTCTAATGCTTAGCACTTTACTAAAAACACTTACTTAAATTGTTGGATGTTTTTTGTACTTCCACTCTTAAAACTGTATAGGAGTTACTGTTACTCTCCATTCTTAAATCTCAAAGCTTGACTTAAATACTTGACTGATACGGGGATCCCTCATTAGCTAGTCCGGTTGCCCAACTCATACGTATGAGAAGCCCTCCAGGATTTCCTTAAACTTAAACTTATCGTGGAAGGCTCTTCTTCCACGATTCTCAAGAGCATAAGTGTTGCTCTGTCTCAAAGATCTCAAGAGCATAACTGCTGCTCTATATGAAAATCTCAAATGGCAACGGACTGGCGCCAACAACTAAAAACACTTACAACGGCTTCAACTTCTTGAAAGTACTTCTTAAAAAGAACTTGTTTCTTAAACTTTAACAATAACTCATAACGTAAAGCTTTAAAGTAAATAAGGACTCTTACATATTCACTTCAATCAAAGCTCATCATTCACAATCACCAATCATAAGCACAATCAAATCATAACAATCACTTCAACAAAATACTTAAAACTCGTAATACTTGAAAAAACACGTAAGACGTAAAATTTACTCCTTTACACTCACCTTATTTCAATGTCGTTTGACTTTCAAGTTCAGTTCCAAATCGATTATATCCTCCTTGAGATGAACGATTAAACCATTGCTATGGCTCGCTCTCCTAGTTGGCCGATGCAAGAATTGCTTCCCTTATTTTTCCAAGCCTAATAACCATTAAATTTTTTTTACAATAACAGCCAACTAACCTAAAGCCAATGTAGACCATGTCCACGTTCTCATAACGCAATTACCCTTCCCGTTGAATAGGCCATGCATGTGTCCTGGGAGGGTTTTGTTAGTTTGGGGTGAGGTCGAGTGGGAGGTAGGGTTAGGTTTAATTGTGCCGGGTTAATTTGGGAATTTTTTAATTACGGGTGAGTTTAATCCGAAATTCAGTTAACGTCCATAATTTTCTCATTTCATGTCGAAACTCGACATCGTTTGAATTATTAGTTCACATTTTTAATCCTCATCGATAATACGGTGGAACTTGACCCAAGGGTATACTAGTCATTTTGACTTTTGGGATGAGCGAGGTGTAACAATATTCTTACTTCACAATCATGGTCGGTAACACATTAACTCGATTGTTCATATACATTTATTTAACTGTCTAGGACGTTATTCAATCATCAGATTTCCACCACCAGCTTGTTATTTGATCTACCAAATTTCCAGGGACGACCCATTCTTCTTTCAACTGACGAGCCACAACCCATAATAGTAGAAACTAGTAAGTTTAAGGTTGCTAAACTGGTTTTCATATCCCCCTTGAATAAACAGAATCAGACCAATTAAGATCATGCCTTAGCGATTTTTATTACCGACTATAAATTGTTGTTGAAAAATGAGTTTGATTGGCTTCGGTGAAAATTATCATTAAAAGAACGAAAACAAGGAGAATGATTATCCAAAACCGACATCGACACGATTTTGGTTTTGTAACGATTTGTACTATGGTTATCGCTTTTGGTTAGTCGTTACGGCTGATGATTAAGTTTTGGTTACACACGACAAGGACTTAACCATTTTTGGCTTATCTAGTTCGAGGGTTTCATGACTATCCAAACCAAACCTTAAGGAATTTTTTAGAAAAAAACCCAAGTAAATTGACTCGTCTTCTAAAACTTGTCACTTTGTCATTCATAGATTGCTTGGATATTGATCGATTCAGTAAATTTAACATTGTTAAAGGAATCATATTTAGCCTTTTTGAGTGACTTGGTGTCTTGAACTTGTGATAACGATCGAAAATCAAACATCTTGTGCACTCGTAACGCAAATTTTAAAAGGAAACAAACTTTTATTAATATTTCCTGACAAAAAAGTTGCTAATTGGCACTCAACAAGCATAAGGAAGATTTGGATTATACATCAAGCTATTCCCGCCAAACTCGATAAGGCGGTTCCAAGTACCCCCAATATTTCCTTTATCAATCGCGCCATAGTGTACTCTATCATTTTGATAGATTTTACAATCCGCAGGATCATAATCAATCTTCTCATTTTCATCTACAGTAGTGATTGTTCTAGCATAACCATCGAGCTTTGGGTCTCCATAAGGTCGGCAACCAGATCCCATTCGTGGAGTGACAGTACCTGGAGGACTGTAAATTTCTCCTCCCCATTCCGCGTAGTTAGCAAAACCTGCTAATCCAGTGAAAATGTCCCTCGGCCAAAATCCCAAAACCTTATCATGATTTCCAAACATGAGAACCCAATCTCCACTGTAATGATCCTGCTTGCACAACAAAACAAGCAATCAATAATTTGGTCGACAATTTAATTCAACTATTGAAATAAAATAAATATATTGTATATCGACAAATAAATCCATGAAAATAACACTAAGACATATGTATATCTAGGTTTTGGCTGAGTATTAATAAATTACCTTCATAATAAAGAATTTTATTTCATATATTGGTCCACCTCGTCTGGAAACAGGAGAAAGAATAACATCCAATGGTATTTCATGATTCGTCACCACAAATCCAGGGCAGTAGGTGTTGTAGCAATGCACATCCTTTGTCTGAGAAGTATAAATATATTTATTTAAATAGTGTTCTCCCCTCCTTTTGATATAATGATAATAGCAAAATATATTATTATTGTGACAATACTATTTATAATAATTCAGAAAATACTCACAATTGTGTAGATGAAAAGTCGAGTGTTTGTATCATGGTATAGGCTCGGATTAACCTTAAGAAAAAAAAAGGAAAATGGAATTATTGTGTAATCATATAATTAATTTATCATATTGTAACTACATCATTAGGAAAGGATGAAATGGAACTAGTTATGATAAATTAGTTACTTACTACCCATCCAACTGCAATACTATCAGGACCATTATTCAATTTGAAACGACTAGAAGTGTATTGATTGCCTTGAACGTCATGATTATATACACTAGTGTACATTCCGGCTCCACGATATCTTTTGTCCCCAGTAGACCTGAGTACCGCAACCTATGTAGCAAAATGTATGGTACAACAACCAAAATGTAAATATGATTAAAGTATGTATAAAAACCCTAATATATAAGTAAATTCCATTTTAGCTGATAAAATAAATTGAATATTAAATTAACTATTTGTTCACCAATACAAATAATAATTGTGCATTGTATGTACCCGAATTTAAGAATATATCATAATATTCTCAAATAATTAATAACTTACACGAATGCCCGAATTGTCGTTTGATGTAACGGCAGCATCTAAATTTGCTTTGAGTAAATCCGTTTTTGTAGTTTTTCTAATTGGCACTGTTCCAATTGGACATCCTTTACCATTTAACCATATGTCTGAGGGTTCGCTACCAAATGAGTCTGATTCGGCTGCTCTTACTTTAAAGCCTTGTAACGAAGAGTTCAACTACATTTAAAAACAAAAACATATATAGTTATTACATATTGATACATACCATGTATTTTAATTAAACGCATTGCAAAAAGAATCACAACAAAAATGTAATGATCAACACTCATATACCTGATAATCAAATCTACGATTTTTCAATAAAGGATGGTCAAATGCTGGTTGTTTGTAAAAATCCACACAATTATATGTGTCTCCCTGGATAGTCTATTTGGCAAGGGACATAGTAAAGGCATCAAAAGCCAATTTGATGCTATTAATCGCAACTATAATAGAAAGAATGAATATTTGCGCCAAAATTTATTTATTAATTAATGTACCTGAATAGTGGCAACGACATGCTTATCAAAATGAGAGAGTTGTTTTCTTGATTTGCCAAAGAACTTTTTGGCTGCAATGACGTTAGATTCTAACAATAATACTGACCATAATAAAACAAACATCAGGACACAACTCGAGGTGGGACGCACAATATTCATCTTTAATTTCCCTGTAACAAATAAAAAATTATAAAAAATGAGTAAATATCTTTAAAAACCATGGCATTGAAGCATGCTTCAACATATTTGTAAGACACTTACACTTTCTTTCCGCTCGAATTTTCTTTGGGTATTTCAATTTGAATTGTTTTGTATTTGTGAGTGTTATTTGCCTTTATATAGAGAGGAAATGTTTTTTTCTTTCAAAAGATAATACCGGACTCCGGAAATATCGTGAGAAATAATTCCTTAGTTATTTGAAGTTTATATTGTAAATTTCGCTTTTACAGTTTTGATTAAATTGAAACATTCAATATGGTCAATGAAAAAGATAAGAATGAACGACGGTCTACGCATTTACAGTAATAATATTAACAAACTCTTACTTTCCATTTTTAGTCGATGTATATTTTAAGCAATAACATTAACCACATCCGTACTTTTATAGTCACACACCTTATTAAAAAACATACAAAATAGTTTGTATTTCATTTTTTAATGAATTATACAACCTTTTTTTATCTTTTACTGTTGGTTTCCCCCCTGAAATTTGTGCTCGGCTTTATTAATCAGAAAACACATCTTTTACTGGTGGTTGGTCAATAATAAGGGAGGAGATAGGGTGTGGTTGTCATGCCGGCTGGTTGAGCCTGGTTCAACCGCTATCGATCGTGGAACCGGTATAAAGTATAAACACTACTGGTATGACCGAATGATCGATTTACGAAGTATAAGTAAAATGACATCATTTAGTAAATTTGATTGATAAAAATGAATTTTTATGTGTCTTATGAATATAAAAGTTAAAAGTTGATGTAATTTGTTAGATTCAAGTATAAAAGTTTAGATATTGATATTAAATATTGTATTTAACTATGAGTATTTGTTATTATATTTGGAATGTCGTATTTTATTAAGCTGGAATGAACCGACATAAATCAATCGTACCACTGATCACACCATTTTACTTGTTAACTCGGTATAACGGTAGATATAAACCGGTTTGACAATCTTAACACTCTTTTAAGTGTTTGCAGCATGCCAAATTGCCAACACTTTTAATAACTAAATCTCCTTTTTATTCCTGCACCTCTCCTCATATACATTGCTTTATTGGGTTTCACATGCAAAAAATATAGTTTTGATACCTGAATTTAATAGATCTTAATATTTAGTACATAAAAATATTTTTTCACATAGGAGTCCTGAAAAATATTGATAAAATCGTTTTCTCTCCTCTCGTTCTCTCTCCTCTCGTTCTCTGACGAACCCTAAATCGGCGATGGCAGCCTCGCCGGCTTCTCCGGCTGGCGAGGGCTCTTCATCCTGGGTGAGCCTGTTTGCTGTTGCTCCAGAAAAGCGACTCACCTTCAGGCCACCAGAGCGAGTTAATGACGGTTTTAGGATCCCGAAAGAGGTCAAGGAGAAGGGTGCTATGCGATGGAAGGACTCCCTGGTGGGTCAGTTCGTCGGGAAGCGTCCGGAGGTAGCTGAGCTCCAGTCATGGGCAAATAAGCTTTGGGGAAGAGATGGCACAGTGAGGGTTTCACGATTTGGTCCGCGGATGCTGATTTTTCAGTTCCCCTCTTCTTCGTCGTGTGAATGGGTTTTTACTTCAGGTCCATGGCATTTCAGAGGGAACCCAATATTTTTCAGGAAATGGGAAGTAGGCATTCAGCCAATCGTCCCTCATGTCGAGACGTTGCCGATCTGTGTCACGATTAGAGGTTTGCCGCTGGAATACTTGGGCAGCGATGGGGTTGAATGGGTTGCTAGTGTAATCGGGAAGCCACTCTGGACTGATCAGAAGACTAGGGTGGGTGCGCAATTGGGGTTCGCGAAGGTTTGTGTTGAAATTGCAGCTGACTGTGGTTTTCCGGACAAGGCTCGTTTCTACCCTGATAACGACTCTGCGTTTGAAATTGGTTTGGGGTATTCTCATCTTCCGAAGGTCTATTCTAAGTGTCGAGTTTTTGGTCATAGTTGTATGCAGGAGCCTGTGCAGCAGTGGAAGGCTAAGGATGGTGAAGTGGTAGGGGATGGCATTCAAAGGGAGTTGGGTTCTGAGTGTGGAGTAGTTGGTGAGGGTGCAGCGGAAGTAGAGAATCATGATGCTGTCCAAGCTCAGGAGGTTGCGGTACATGAGCTAGTAAATGCTGGAGAGGAAGTACTGGATTCTGATGCAACTGCTGCAGGGGGGTTGGATTCCAGGGCTGTGGAAACAGGTGATGGTATTGATGCAGAGACTCATACTGAACATGGGACTGCCACTGATGAAGGGAAGGAATTAGTGATACAGGCTGCTGTTCTAGACTCTGAGATTAGTGCTAAGGCTTTTGCATTTACAGCACCTCCTGATGCAGAAGCCCACATACAGCCTCTTATATCAATTGAGAGCCCCCCCTGAGTTTTGCGCAGATTGTTAGAGGATCACCACTCCAGAGTGGGAGTTCTGTAACAACTGGGCAAGCTGCTGAGACTGGTCAGTCACCAGTTCCTGGGAGCTCGAAATCTCAGCAAGCTCAAGGGGGGAAAGCTGGAGCAAAGGATAAGGAAAATATCCAACCTCCGGATAAAGGTAAGAAGGTATGGGTTGACTCTCCTCTTGTTCCACTTTTGGCAAGGAAAGGAGGGAAAGGAGGGAAGGGTAGGGGTAAGAGATGAGATTGCTTACCTGGAATAGTAGAGGTTTTAAAGCTGATAGTAAGTTTACAGCAGTACAAAAGAAAATAAATAAACATAATTTAGATATAGTAGCTGTGTTAGAACCACGAATAAGGGCCTCTGAGACAGATGAGTTGGTTAAGAAGAGATTTCCAGATTGGGAGAACAAAGTAAAACATAATGAGTCTGGCTTGGGTAAGATCTGGTTGGTTTGGAAGAAGGACATTTCACTCACAGTCTTGCATTCTTCAGAGCAGTTTATTCATTTCATGGTGGGGGGTGATAAGCCATTTTTTGGGACAGTAGTTTATGCAGCTAATGACGAGAATCTTCGACTAATTCTGTGTAACACCCTACCCTGTACGTATTACCTAATCATATTGTTCATACAATTGCAGCGAAAATAATCTCGGGTGTTGCATTAATTATCAAAATTTATCCAAATAAAATTTCGACATGAATTACTCGCGTAATGGGCTAACAGTTCTTCCATCTGATCCTGCAAAATAATTCATCTAAATCCATGCATTCATAAACAAACATATACACTCACTGCCATATGCATTGGCTCTTCATAGCCATAGTCACAGTTTCATGTTTACACAACTGCATCATATACTGATACATGCCATAATCGTCACAACTTACATAATTACACAAATATACACATCATCATCAACTTTCCACACCTGTGGATATCTCACACTACATCAGAAGCTAGTATGCACATGAAAAACGTTCTCAAAACATTTTTTTACAAAAAGGTGTGGATCACTGGCCAAAATCCCGAGTAGTAGTCCAAGCACAGAATAGTTGAAGACCATACCTCATCCTGGCTTCAACTCTTGCTCAGCTTCCACCTATACACCTATCTACTGCTGCTGATGATGATCTGCTTACACATGGCATAAGCAGAGAAAAAGGATAAAGAGGGTCAGCTCATAGCTGAGTGAGATAATCATAGCATCGTGAGTTCATAACAGAGCATACCCCTACCATACGTCTAGCAAACAAGCCAAAGCACTAGGATCAGACCTCAGGCATCCGACATCCCAATAGGCAAAAGACTCAACCACATTGACTTATGCATATGCATCTTATCATGTTTTACTTATAGGCGCCTGGCTACTCCCATGCTAATTACTCTCCCGGGAAACATACCCCACATCCCGTCGGATGTAGTCATACATACCCCAACATCCCGTCGGATGTGGTCATACATACCCCACACCACTATGGGTGTAGTCATACCCCGACACCGCTCTGGGTGTGGTCATATCTCGTAAGAATTCTTCAGTCACCACCACATGAGAGGTGTGACTATCATACATATCATAATAGAGTAATAGCATAGGGAGCCCTAATTACTATGTAGTTGACCATGAGACCAAAGTACTCTTACTTAATCTCCTTATACATGATCCATATCTCATCTTGCTTAATCATAATTCGTTCTTGCACATGTACTTGACCTGGCCACAATTGGCTCAACATAGGTAAATCAGGAGTCGTATAATTGCACTTCCTCGGGATGAACCCTCATGCAAGTCATCCTCCTTAAACATCATAATATCACCCTGGGAAGTTTATTCCCCCACTTATGGATCCAAATACAACCATAATATCACATCATGCCAAAACACCTTATCGAACAACCAGGAAGTTATATCAACAGTTAAGCCACAAATGGCAACATGTATGCAATCATCAACATAAACAAGGTCCATATCGGCTAGGGCAAGTCAATAATATCATACAGCAATCCAGGGTTCAACATATAGCACAAAAGTTCATACACCCCTAATCATGCCATTCTAGTTCACCTAGATCAATTCTAAGCATCAATATAATTATCGTGATACGACAAACCCGGTATGCCGTGCTAATCCCTCACCAGTTCTGGTCGTTCAAACCCCGGTTTAACCTTCCCGTACTAAAACGTCAATTTCACGAACGAACCCCGAATCAAAATCCGAGACCGCCCTAATATCCCCTGCAGTATCCCCGTCAATATTAGTTCTAGGCTCCGGGTCAAATTCTTGATAAAAACACATCAAACCCTGGCCGGAGCTAAATTCAGCGGTTTGGACCCCGGCCTAAATAATAGCCGAAATTCAGGGATTAGAACTAGAGGATTGATTACCTCGCTGCAGGAAGCTCGTATATGAAATTTGGGCTCAATCCGGCTTCCGGATACTCCGAAACCCTAATTTGGCTTATCGGGAATTCAAGAAATTCCTGAACCAAAAACTCGTTTTAAAGCTCTAAATCGATAAATCACGATGAATAGATGAATTAGGCATTACTTACGGGAATTTTGGATCACTTATGCTCAAGAATCGAGCCTTGGAGTTTTCCCCCGACGTTCCCCTGTACTCTCTCCGCTCGCTCTGGTTTTTGTTCTCTCGGTGGAAAATGGAATTAAACGATGATGATGGTGAGAATTAATGGACAGGGAATTAATATAT